TTAACTTAATTATTTTAAAATACTTAACTTAAAGAGTTAAAAAAAAATGTTAACTTGCCCAGTCTTGATTATTCGTATATTTTTCTTATTATTTATGTAGGTACATTATTAAGTAAGTGATTATGTTTATTAGTAAAACTACAACATACATTATAGGTGCAATGTGTTTAGTTTTTATAAATTGGTTTCTTTATATTATTGTCATAATTAAAAAACAAACAACCTCAGAAAATTCAATTTTTACCAAGTGTTTGTTATATCATTCGTTATACATAGTATAATTTTCAAAATATTTTGACTTTTTTGAGCGATTTTTTTGCAGTTAAAATTTTCAATTTTTTTTTATTATTTACAATCTGTATATCTTACAATCTGTAATCTTTGATGATCTTATTGTGATTTGTGAATAAAGTAATTTATATATTATAACCTATTTACGTGGAACCTTCTTTTAATTTTCGATCCAAAAATTTAACTTTAAATGCTTGTAAAACAAAAATTTGCCTATGTATTTTAATATTTTTCAACTACTATTGTAACAATATATCAGGAGCCTTGTATTAAATTTTCAAGCTTTTCGGCCCTTCAAATAAAATTTTATTGATATTTATAGAAAAAAAAAAACTAAAAATTTTCATTTTCCATTTTTTTTTAGTTTTTTTTCTAAAAATATCAATAAAATTTTACAATTTGCAAATTTTCGTCATGTTTACGTATTTTGTCAATATTTGAACTTATATACTTAAAAAAAAATTGTGACTATGGATTTTAAATATTTTTCAAATATTATTGTAACAATATATTAGGAGGCTTTTATTCAATTTTCAAGCTTTTTTACCCATATTTTTTTTTAATAGATATATATTACAAGGCAGAAGGATGGTTGATATAGCATTTTTATTCAAGACAATTCAAAGTATTCGACACAATACGTTTGACTGTACATTTTCTGACTTAAAAATTATAAATGAAAAAAAAATGGATTTTTTAGCACATTTGTTTTTAAATGTAAAATATGTGGTACGATAGAAAATATTTATTCAGAAGATCCTGAACGAAATGGTTTCAGTATAAATACAGCAGTTACATCTGCCATATTAAACACGGGACAAGGATATTCCCAATTGGAAGAGTTCTGTGGTATACTTGATATGTATTGCATGTCACTTCCTACTTATCAAAATATTCACGAACAAGTAAGTCAAAGTATTATTTTCTGTCTGTCTGATACTACTAATCTGTATGTGGGTTGAAATATGTCATTATTTATAGTATGTGTCATTGTGGCATCGTTTATATTTCTTTTAAAAAATAATAGAAAATTAAAAATTAATAATAATAATAGAACAATAAAATACAAATTACCTGCTATTAGACAAATCAATGTTTTCATCATTATTTTGGTTTGAATTATTAGAATGATCCAAAATCTATTACAAAAATCAATGAATAATACACCATAATTATTATTATATTTACTTAGGTATGTTATGTAAAATATAATTTGATTAGGGCGGCAAATTTATTATAACACTTATTTTTTACAGCGTATGGCCTATTTTAAAATAAGTTGAAAATTGTAATAAATGCCTATGCCATATTATAACGGTAAAAAAATCTGCCTCTAGTTATTTATATCTATAACATTATAAGGTATTTTAATTTATTATAAAAAATAAACACATAGATACCTGAATATCGTTATTCTCCAAGGTTTTAGTAATTTTGGAATTCACATTTTTCAAATTATGCCTTGATTTTTTCCGTGGCGCAGATAATTTTGGACGAGTTTTTTTACTGAATCGCCAATCACTCATTTTTATAAATGTATTATTATTTGCAAATGCATAAAATAAACACAAACGTTAAACGTAGTGAAACACGTCACTAAATACAAACTGGTGGTAACAACTTACTATTTTCATTGATTATAAATATTATAGTATTATTTAGTAGTTATTCATTTTTTATTTACAATTTACAACATAATTCTTATATTATTGCCACCACATTTTGACTAGGATCCAGTGTTATACATGTACATTGTACCATATTACTTGATTCACTAAATATTTCATATATCGTTCTCATTTACGTTTTCAGGTATGTTGTACCAAAAGATTGTACGAGATGACGTTTTTTTCGAACTACGAATGCAGCAACAATTAATTTCATTTTACCATGACCATTTGTTACTTGAAATATTAGATTCCCGTTTTAATCGTGGTTTACCCATCAGGGATTAATTTTTAGCTTTTTTCGTAGTAATAATGTAATATATTTAATTAAAATAACGACTACAATATTATTAAGTCTTTGATAAAAAATAAATGATTTTAAATGTAAAAAAGGTGGGCAAGTGGGTGTCGCTCTGCTGTACAGTAGGTTACAAGTGGGTCACTGTATAATGGATGGTATTAAATTTGAATTCAATGATATAATATCATTGTATAAGAAAAACGATTCTGAGCGGTGATGGTATGTCAGTCTATGTATAAGGCATATTATATACATATCTATGGTATTAAACAAAAAATTGACCTATAATAGGTACCTATAATAAATTCCAAATTAATCATATCACAATATCCATTAGATACTTATAACGCGTTATACATCAACAAAAACCGTGATACTATCATAGATATATAATAGTACACTTTAGAAGTTTCAAGTACCCACGAATAGTATTATTCAATCACAACAAAATAACTAAAATCGTAATTCTTGGTTTAAATATGAAATTTTGTCTAAATTTGAAATTAAAATGTCTGTAAAAATAAGTGTGTTTATATATTTTTTAGATTTTTTGGTTACAGTATGAATTATTTAAGAGAATCTTTGTTTTAAATTTTCAACTTTTAGTTATAAAAACTGAACATTTTATAATTTTTTAATTCCAACGATTGATAATTTTCGAGATTTTGATAAATTTTGTCAAAATTCCAACTTTAAATGCTTATAAAAAAAAATCGTGCCTATGTATTTTTAATATTTTTCAACTGATATTGTAACAATATATCAGGAGCCTTGTATTAAATTTTTACACTTTTTGGCCCAACAGATAAAACTTTATTGATATTTATAGAAAAAAAACTAAAAAAAATTGAAAGCTGTAAATGTCCATAAACAGCTCAAAAAGAGTCAAAATATTTTCAAAATTGTATGGTGTATAGGAAATGCTAATATAAACATTCAGTGAAATTTTCATGTATCTACAGTTATTCGTTTTTGAATTACAACAAAATAAGGAAATCGCTACATGAGAAATCTAGTGAAAATCCAATGTTGTAAAAATTTGAATTTCAAACGCTCATAAAAATTTAATTTGACTGTCCGGTAGAGATTTTTTTATTGATAAAGGTAGATAATCTTATAAGGAATCTTGTGTTTCATTTTCAAATCTTAGATTTAAAAAGAAAAATTTTTACGAATTCTTAACTCAAAATAATTTGCTAATTTTCGTGATTTTTCCATATTTTGTCAATTTTTGAACTTTAAATGCTTATAAAAAAAAATTGTGACTAAGGATTTTTAATATTTTTCATCTGCCTTTGAAACAACATATTAGGAGCCTTCTATTAAATTTTCAAGCTTTCGCAACCAACAAATAAAATTTTATTGATATTTCTAGAAAAAAAACTAAAAAAAAAATGAAAAATGAAAATGTCCCTAAACAGTTCAAAATAAATCAAAATATTTTGAAAATGTTATCGTGTATAGAAAATGCAAATATAAACAACCAGTGAAAATTTCATGTATCTACGGTCATTTGTTTTAAAGTTACACCAATAACCAAATTCGATTTTTTGGAAAATCGATTTTGCGTAAAAATTCCCGTTTTTCCTTAATTTTTATGTTGTTTTTCCCGGCGCTTGTGAAAACTACTGGAAAATGTTTACTTTTGACCCCCCAAAGTACCAACTAGATTCACTTTCCTATCAGAAAAGGTACTATTGAAGAAAATCGAAGCACTTTTACTGTCCCAAAACGTGATGACAGACACAAAAATATAAAAATATAAAAATATAAAAAAAAACATACATCATTGTAAAACCAATACATTCATCGCTCCGCTCAGAATCTAAAATTTTATAATGTTTAAATACTACCTATTCCTATTTCTTATACTATATATTATTATATTATTGTAATGTAATAAAACTAAATCCAAGTGGCAAGTACAGTCATAAATAATAATTAACCCTAATATAAATTATTATCCGTAAATATTGTAATTATAAAAACATTACAATTCCAACAATGGTTTTACGATAAAGACGCGATAAACTCGCAAATACGCCCGCGGTATCAGTACTACCTGTAAGATAGGGCGGAAAGTGGCGGTACATATATAGGACCGCACTCACACTAATAATCATTTACGACTAACACAAAGATTACGGGCGGCGACGACAAGATTAGAAATTGCCTAAATTGTTCCCCTTAAATAATAGCCACTAAGAGCCGCCTTAAAAATGGTTTTACAAAAAATATAAAATAGGTGTATTCAGGGCCGGCTCAATGTGGTAGCAAAATAGGCAGCCGCCTAGGGCGGCACTAGTGTGGGGGCGGCAAATTTCAAATGAACCAAAGTGATTTAATTATTATAAATTATAATATAATATAGTCTGCTGAATTGTATGTTCATTACTCAAATATACAAAAAAAGTTTACCGAGAACGCACTAAAGTCGTAATACTGCATGAATATAAATAGAACGGCGATAACAATACATGCATTAGTCGACCACAGACGAATGCACGTTCTTATCGAGTTTAAAATTATTATTTAATTGGAAAATAATTGTCAATGACACAACGGCATTTAGTCCCGGACTTTCAGCCACCCGCCGAACACGTAAATAATTTTTGCCGTAGAGGGATAGTGATAGTAGACCAAGTGCGTGAACGTGTACAATTTTTATTAAAATAAATTTATAACTGCAACACTTAATTGGTATTAATTTTGTTAAATTATCACGTTAATATTTATTGAATATGTCAGAGCAAAAACGTATACGGTTATCAGGAGCTGCATATCGAAAACAAAAATTAAAACGTGATGAAGAAATTAAAAAAAACTCTGGTTCCTTTGAAAAATATTTGAAAAAAAATAATGAAGTTTTAAATAATCCAGAAACACATTCTAAAATTATTTCAGAAGAACCAAATACCTTAGAAGTTACTGACAGTTTAAAAGAAGTTGGTAACTCAGAACAAATTTCCGATAGCATTGACATTTTCAATAATGAAATAAACATAACGTTGGAAGAAAATGCGAGTATTAAATCTAATGAAAATGAAAATAACATATCTGACCCCGGGACATGGCCAGCGATTTTTTCAAATTCATTACGACTTCAATTAGTAAAAACTTAAGGTTAAGTGATCTTGCTACAATTTCTATTGAAAAAGAAGTAATGGAAAATCTGGAGTTCAAAAATTTACTGATTGATTTTGCCCAAGAAAAGGCTCGCAAAATTAATTTTATTTAATATATTTTTTTTTTTTTTTTTTTTATATATTTTTTAATGTTAAATTAAATACATATTTTTTATCTATGATAACGATAATGAATGTATAACAATGGTCAAAAATATTACTTGTTCTATTTTATACCCAACATTTATTTTAATTTTATTATTATTATTTTATATTTTGTAAAGAAAACTTAGGTCAGTCAAAACATTTTATTTTTTTTTAATTAAACAAGGGTTCATAGATAAAAATGAATGTCCTTATTTTATCAATACACTCCTCTCCAAAAAAATAACTATTGCATAGGGCAGCTTAAATCAGATTTGCCTAGGGCGGCAAAAAACCTACGGCCGGCCCTGGGTGTATTATTCAATATTTAAATCTTATATGTATTATACTTTGACAATTTTTTCAATTTTTACAAATTATAAAATGTTTATGGATTAATAGTAATTACTATAGCTTTCAAATCATAGTAGCCCCCATATTTTCCGAATCTATTATCATAATCCTATTAATATTAGTAAAAAACTCAGAAAATACTCGTTCAAATTTTGATAGGTACATCAAAAAAATTTAAAAACATTAGTTTGTATGGACCAAGGTATGGACACTCCTTAAATGGCACAAAAAGTATCAAGTATTCAAAAAATGGTCCTTAAATTTCCAGAAATTATATTTAGAATACCTAATATATTGAATAAAAAAGGAGGTGAGCACTGAGCATGTATTTATTATAATTTAAGATATTTGAACACGATAAATACAGACCTGATTGCCGTCTAATTCCACATCAGAAGATTGATTGTCAGCCATTTGTTTATTGCCTTTATTGGTAGGAATCTAAATAACATAACTTGTAGGTTTTTATTTTGATATAAATATTTAAAACACAATAACATTTAAGGGTTTAAGGGACCGGTCCAACGTGTGATCTACCGATAAATGGCTATCTACGATAAAGTGTTGTAGGTAGAATGTGTGATCTACCGATGACAGATACCTATATTTTACACTATAGTGCCTACTATAGATACGATATGGATTTTATGACTTAATCTATATAATTATCGATATGATATGGATTTTGTGATCGTATTGTATTTTTAAAATATAATTTAAACATTCAGTTACCATTTAGCATTTGTTCGTGTCATTTCGTTTGTTGGTGTATTTTTTCCATTTTTTTTTTCACAAGTGTCTATAATATTTTTAATTTAGTTAATTTAGTTTTGTACCGATTTAAAATGAATTCTACTACAACTATGGGATATTTATACAGAAATATAATTGTTGATGAATTGAAATGTGTTGAATATTTAAAAAGTAAAAACCTTTTGAGTAACAACCGTTTGGTTTGCTCAAAACAGAATATTGATGGCACCGAATATGGTGGACAATTACGTGAAACAACAAGGTCCAGTAAAAAAAGAAATTCGGACGGTACTTTTAAAAAATTGTTACTATGAGATGTATCGTAAAAGGATACCAAACATATCAGTCAATTTGCGCAGGAAATCCATTTTTTACTTATACAGACCTCGATGGTAAATGTCATAGTAATTTAGCTCTAACAGAAATAATAGAACTCGTCTGGTATTGGGTACATATGATACCAGTACATAATGCAGTTTTATGGACAGGTAGAAGTAAACACACTGTAATTGACTGGTACAATCTGTGTCGTGATGTTGTTGTTGATCAGTTTTCAAAAAGACCAAAAATGGGAGGTCCTGGTTACATTGTACAGATAGATGAATCCCTCTTTCAGGGGAAACGAAGATATAATCGCGGTCGCTTACAACATGGTGATTATGACCCACAATCACATGAAGATAGCGACGAAACTTCAAATGATGAAAATGAAACTCATGTAGAAAACATCCAACAAAATTATGGAAATAGAATACAGGGACCGTGGGTATTTGGTTTGTATTGTAGTAATGAAAACAAAACTGAACGACGATTTTTCATTGTAGAAAGGAGGGATCGACAAACGCTATTACCAATAATAGAAAGAGAGGTAGAAATTGGTACAACGATTCACAGGGATCAGTGGCAAGCATATAGTTCTCTGAAGGAACATGGATTTATTCATCAAACTGTGAATCATTCTGAAAATTTTGTGGATACAAATACTGGAGCTCATACTCAAACTCTAACAATAGTCATTGTGGAAGTTAGTCAAGTCCAAGTATAATATAAAAGTCAATGGTGCATCTCCTCTATTAGACCGCCAACTTAAAGAAGAATGGTGGCAGTCATGCCACCCGATACAAACTCAATTATTTGATGATTTTTTATCAGATTTAAAAAATACTTTTGCAGTATAATTATAAGAAGCAATCATTAGCATTAGACCAGCCATTTATTGGTAGATCACACATTAGACCAGCCATTTATTGGTAGATCACACATTGGACCAGCCGTTTATCGGTAGATCACACATTGGACCAGTCCCGGGTTTATATATAAGGAATATATCTAAATAATTAAGACATGATTTTTTTTTAATACTGTTTGTAGATAGTTATTTTAACATAAAACAATATAAATTATGCAAAATTGTATACTGTTTTTATTACTGTTTAATGTAATAATCAATTTTACTCCAAGGAATGAATATTATCTAGGGTGTAAAGTTAACGTTTTTTTGATAATTCTAGATTATTTTATGAGCAATATAAAAATTCAGAAAAATGTACAATCACATGGCCACGTAGTGCGTTCTGCGTACCTATGTTAAGACAGAGAAAATTTCAATAGCAAAAATATTATTTTTTCAATTCTGTGTTTATAAATAAACATAATTATAATCTCTATAGTACATACCTATCTGGATATTTAATAGTTATAAATTAAAGTAATAAGTAGGGTGCAAATTTTAATACCCTAAAAAAACCTAAAAACGCCTTAGAAAAAAATGCAATTATGACATTAAACATTTAATTAATGAAGTAAAAAATGCTTTAAAAAAGAGGAAAATTTGATTAATGCCCTTAAAAAATGCATTTTACCGCAAAAATGACCTTAGGTAAAGGACCTTAGAAATACCATATTAATTTTTTGATGATTTTTTTGGGATGCATTTTGTAATACAATATTTATCCCTATTAAAATTACGAACATGAAATAAAAACATACAAAATACAACCATAATGTTACACAATTTCACTAATTATTTGTTACCTATTAATATGAGTACGGGTGACATATTGAACAAATATGCATTAAAACCAACAAAAATTACCCAATAATGCTAAAAATAAAAAAACGTCGAAATATACAAAAATGCAAAATAAAATCCAATTTCAAAAATATTAAATAAAAAACAAGTGATTAGCAGAGTACCTAATTTAATTATAGTTAAATATTTATAAATTATATAATAACTATAGATGTATTATGATTAGTTTACGATCCGTAACACAGCAGATAATAGGCACATTGTTCTCGAAATTATCATATTATTATTCGAGGTAATAAGTTCTAAGTAAACGTAATATTTGAAATGGCGTAAATTCATAAACAAATGCACACAAAAAGCATAGCTAAAGAAGCCGCCACCAACATCAATATCCCCAGAATAGACCTCTCATCTTTCAAGGACACTGCCCGAAACGCCTTAAAAAGTAGCAAAAAGATTCACCAACGACTCTGGGACCAGGAACAAGTTATACCAAATAAAACCATTTTGTCACCTAACTCGAATCCTCCCTCAAGTACGAGAAGACAACAAGTGATATGAACGGGGATAAAAATTGGACACACAAACATCACACACGTCCACTTAATGAGAAGAGGGCCGAGACCAAACTGCAAACTCTGCAACAAAGCTTATAACTAGGGGCCGGAATTATATTCTTTTAAAATAGTCAAAATAAGGTGCTAATATTCTCTTAAAAAGTTGAAAATATTCTTCCAATATTCTTTAAAAACCATAATAAAATATGCAAAAAGATGCTTTTTTATTAAAATATCATTAATAACTATTAATTATGTTGTATTTATTAATTCATACCTATTCTATTGAACTAAATATATGCATTTATATGGAAAATAATAAAGCAAATAATACAAACTGATATAAATAAATACGTAATATGCAAAGTAATACCAAAACCTGATATAAATACGTACCTACATAATAAAAAATACTACATGTTAAGAAAAGTTTGATAAAATTATCAATTATAATATTATTTAATATTCAATTATTTTAAATTTTCAACTACAAAAATTTTTGAAAACAGTTGACAACTGTCTGTTGTCATATTTGTACAACGGTCGGTTAAAATGTTTATAAATATATTGTGCGAATTTATATTATTTACTCCACTGCAACAAAAAATATCAAACATCTACAAAAATTAATCGATATAATATTCTCTAATATTCTTTGTTACAAGAGATATTCTTTCGTCTTGAAATATTCCCAACAAATATGCAAAAAAAACTTTTGGCATTAACTCACGTGTTTTATGATTTGTAAAGATTTCGACTGCACACTCAAAAAAAAATATGCAAAAGAATATAATTCCGGCCCCAAAATTATAACCGACGATAAAATTCCACGTACCTGCCTACGCATATTGCAATACAAATCCGGAGACACGAGGACGCTTGCGTCTCGCGAGTTGTAAGTGTCTCTGAGGTCGGACTGTTAGCCCGGAAAGAGTCGAAGCAACAACGGACGCATAGATAAGTAGGTATATAAAATGGCAAATATTATAATTATAAATTATTAATGCTGTTAATTTCGGTTCAAAGAAGGGTGCGATGGTAAAAACATTTAAAATATACAAATGTGCTTCAAAGCCTACACAATTTCCCGCCGCAATACTATTACACGGTGTTTGTTGTCCAGCGAATAATCTCCGTACCGTACCATCTTTATACCA